ATATGATATATTATAATATAATGTATTATAATATAATATATTGTAATACAATATAATATAGTATAATATAATATAGTAATATAGTATGGTGCAATGTAAGATGAAATAATTTAATGTTATATAACGTAGTAAAATGTAGGGAAATATAATATAATATTACATTGCTTTATGTGGTGTCATGTTATATTGTATTATTTTATTTTATATTATAATATATTATACTGTACTATATTATGTTGTATCACATTATGTCATATTTTACTGTATCTTATCGTGTAATTTTTTGTTTTATTGTATTATCTTATATTATCTTATATTATTTTATGCTATAGTGTATTATGTTGTAGTAAATAGCATGTAATACAGCATATGGTATATAGTATATAATGTATAATATACGATATACAGTATACGGTATGTAATATGTAAAACATCATAATTTTATATAATATAATGTAATATAATATAATGTAATGTAATGTATTATAGTGTAGCAAATGTGTTTTATGTTTTGTCTGTAGCTTCTTTCTGAAACCAGTAGGGGGAACAGCTATGCTGTATTGTTTAGGTTTATTCGTTGTTTGATGCGTGTGACCCCTTCAAAACATTGTACTTTTGGAACATTTGCATAACTGAACTTGTCTGTTAAGCTTCATAATATAATGATAGTCGCATTTCACTGAAAGCTTTATTGACCAAAAAAGTCATTTGTGCCTACAAGTGACAATTAAAGAGTTTTGATATTATTTTTGTGTAACTAACATCGTCACCTTTGTTCCTCAAATCCTCTCTTTGCTCTCTCGGCGTCGCCTAAATTTATGAAAGCTAGCTGGGGGAAACAGTATCATGGCTAAAACAGGGGTGTGAAATCTCGCTTTTATATACGAAACAAGTTGATGGTTATGGGATAAATGAGACCATTGATGTAAAAAAAAAAAATTCAATTTTAATTTTTTGATTTTGGTTTTTATCTTATTTTTTGACTCTGGCCTGGAAATTGTTTACTGGCTTATTGTGTTTCACACTGTCTGGCTAGGAAATCCTATAAAACTACAGCAAGTTTTTAGGATGGAAGAGTATGCAATAAAAGGCTTAATGTAGTTGCGTTTAAACTGGCCTAGTCGCATATATGCTTTTTTTTCATTGTCGGCCTGAATTTTTTTTTGCAAGATTTCTGACACCGCTTAATTCATCTAAAATGATTTCAATTTTGTCTACACAAATCTTGTTAACTGTGCAACAATCTAATTCTAAACTGTCGCTTCAATTCTTCTGCTATTTTAAAACACCGCTCTTCGAAGGTAGCTGGTAGTATGACGAATAGTGCCGACATTTTGTAGTCAAAATTCTAAGAATCTTGAAGTTTCAAATCTACATCTCCTTTAATCTCTATGGCTGACAATTCCTACATTTCTTGACCAATTTTTGGCTTTTCTGAAAAATACGTATTGACAGTGTTTTCGTTGAGTACATGGAACGTATCGGATCACTTTATCGGATGGCTAAAGGGACCGTTGAGGAAAGCTTTTTGGGACACGTAAATATATATATATATATATATATATATATATA